AAAAAAAAAAAAAAAAGAATGTAGGTAAAAAAATACGTACTCGAGTCCTGCGGAGTTTCTCGGATATCTGTAATCACGCGACCATCCGTAAATCACTGTTGCAGGTGAGAAGCCGCACAAGTGCGTGGTATGTGGCAAGGCGTTCTCCCAGAGCAGCAATCTGATCACGCACATGCGCAAGCACACGGGTTACAAGCCGTTCCAGTGTGGCCTCTGCGACAAGGCGTTCCAGAGGAAGGTCGACCTACGACGACACCGGGAGGGACAGCATCCAGCAGCCCCGGCGCTTGATTATCGCTCCCTTCAGCTACCCTCGCAGCCCGCCAACGTCAGACACTCGCCGTCGTCGTCGCTACAACCTGCCGCCGGTTATCACATGATACCTGTCCCCAGTAACAGTTGAGATTCTTTCACGACCTTCCTGTCAGCGCTCGAAACTTCCCCGATCGTTCGCCAGCACCGTGTGCCTGTCACTGGTTTCTTTTCGCTCTTTGCCCTCGTGCGTCGAACAAACAAACGGAAAGAGAGAGTCGTGTTTCGCGGAGAATGATGTAGAATGAGTGGGATACGCGGGTTGAAAGTAGTATCTAGCTGATGTCTAGAGTACGCACGTGTACTACAAGGTGTTGAGGAAATTTAATAATTTATCAATTACAGAAACTTCATAATTTCATTCGAGATTTTCGAAAACTCTCCGAGTCATTAACGACAATTCCTCCAGTCGTGAATCTTTTTCTGGCTCTCGCTTACGATTGTTACGTTGTTTATTTCGATCTTGACAAAGAAATCGAAATCTTTGAATCTGTTCTCAACACCCTTATAAACACGCACGTATATACGTATGTATAAAAAATGGAAAGTTACAGCAGCACGCGAGGAGGAATCTGTTGTCACGACGCATAATGCGATCGAATGCAAATCTAAGATTTATAAATTACTTACGGATTATCATATAATCGTAGAGTCGCACCAATCCCAGATAAATTATTTGTTACGTACGAACGCAACAAATGAAACAAATTTGCATTTTCTATACGCGAAGAAGGAGATTCGAGGTGCGTAACGAACGTGTTAGATGTAGGCAGACCACCTGTTCCAAGTGGCTGGTTCTGTTAATAACCGGTACTTATATACCTCCGAGCTGTTCAACAATGAAAAGACGCCTTAGGGGAGGCACGCTTTTGCATATTTCTCGTGCTAAACTGGCGATCTTCGACGAGTGTTACGAGATCAAGCACCCTCTTGAGGTGGAGAACTTTCAACCGTCCATTATTGCTGTATTTTGGGTATGTACGTACATGTATATATATAAATATACATTTTATATATATGTGTGTGTGTGTGTG